GTACATATCAAGGTACTTCACTCCATAAATAAGAGCCTCTTGCAAATAATATTAAATATCCTAGTGAGGCACAAATTTCATCTTTCTCCAAATACTAGAAAATTATACTTGAACATAATAGGCTTCCTACCACAGGACTTGCCCATTAGATAATTTTAAAAAAAAAAAAAAAAAAAAAAAATCTTCTTGTTAATCCATATATTATTAAAAATATATCTTACAAACACCGAGTTATTAAAATTCAATTTACTTAATTTATTAATATATTACTAATCTAAAAATTATTTTGATTTTCTGCCTTTCATTTATAAAGTTACAAAATTTATATAATCAATTACATGAATACCATTTAATGTGTTTTAGAGAAAATTATTTCTGAAGAGTGACTTGAAGGAATATATTTTTAATTTTGCCTTTTTATATTGGAATTTATAAAAGAAAAAATATTAGTAAACTTAAAATTTAGTACATTTTAAGTTTTTACTTATCAAATAATGACATTTAAAAAACAAAATTTAAGTTTATAAAATTGCCATATATATCATTGTTCTGTTCAATTTTCAACAAAAAATATACAAATGAGCAAGAAAAAAAAAAATAAAGATATGACACTTGTCAAACTTAATATTTCTGTTAGTGATTTAATCAATATTTAAGAAAATTTCAAAGTCTCTTTTGTAGCATGCAAAATAGATAAACTGCTAGAACTGAATAAAAATGTACACAAATGTGAAATGAAAAAAAAAAATCTTTCCCCCAAATACTGTTGATAAAACTTAAAAATAAATTTGTGTTAACAGCAAATGTGATGAAAAATTTCTATATATATTAAATTGAACATAAAAATATGAAAAATATACGGGGTGGAGGTCAGTAGAGAAAATATAATAAAAATAGATAAATAAATCAAAGAAGTTGTATTAGTTAAAGCTTAATTTCAAAAGCAATACTTTCCTGTTGTAAGAACTCTTTCACAAATTATTATTAATTTAAAATAATCTTTTTACAATGAAAACTATCATGCATATAAACTGCAGGAATTTTTATTTCAGAAAATTAAAGACTAAATTCAGAAATAAATCAAACTCCATAAAACCTCATGATATCCATTTAAGTTAAAAAAAAATTCAAACATTATATGTTGGGGAAAAATAAATTATTAAAATTCAAGTTTAATCATCTTGAAGAACTAAATGGAAATTATAAACTATAAATAAAATGTATGCTTCTTTCAGAGTTAAGGATGAGAAAAATCAAAAAATAACTTTTCTCACACATTCTAATAAATGTTAATAAAATCCAAGTGATGTTCATATTTTTTTCATAATTTATTAAAATATTATCATGAATTTATAATAATGTCTAAATTTATCATTTTAGGATTCAAGTATCTATTTAATTTCATCATGATCCTAGTGAGCATATATGAAGAGATTTTTTTTTTTTTTTTTTTTTTTACAAAAAGCAGATTAAAATAAAATAAAAAAAAGCATGCCAGCTACTACAGTGTTGAATGAAAATAAGGATTGCTACTGTTTAAAAAGAAAATTAATCTGTTAAATTTTTACTAAGATGACATAAATATTCACCAGAGTGTACTTCCAGCAGGATCAATGACCATTCAGATGTGTATTGCAAATTGTCACATTTACATTGAAACAGTACAAGAGAAAATACAGAACTGAATACATGGTAATGTTGAAAATAGGGTTTGAGAAAGTTATACAGCACTTGACCCTCACCCGATGATCTTCACAAATTAAGATCTTTTACATGTCATGTCCCTTCAGGACATAATCAATCACAACTCTCTACAATTACCTATCCTTTCTTTACTCTGAGCAATGTTCATCCACTGCTATTTCTCCATAGTCCCTGTGTTGCCATCCAAATACATAAGCTTGTTAGGTAAGTTACACATTTAAATTTCTCAAGTTAAATTGACCAAATACAAATTGTATAGACTTTAAAGACCAACTTTTAGCATAGTAGATTTAAATTTCCTAATGAGAGGAATGAGTTTGGAAAACAACATGAAGATCATTGAAATGTCAAAGAATGAGTCAATGTATAATCCACTAAGGAATCTGGAATATCTGCAACAAGTCATCCAGGAAAAGAATGCTGATTTTGGGAAAATTTTGAATAGGAAAAGCAAATAGACTATTGAAATCAAACAAAAGAGGTAAAAAAGCTAATTCTGTTGTCAGTATCCAATCCAAAAAATAACAGCTCATTAAGCAAAACATGAAAGCAAAATTACAAGAGAAATGTCAGTTCATACAACAAGAAAGCTACAGTGTAGAAATTATCTATATTACATCATATTTTATTATGCAAGTCAATGTTTTCATAAAATTCATATAAAGAAACTGATGTTGGTAAAATTTACGATATATTTATGAGCAATATATTATGTGAGTTTCAGCTTATGATATCTTTCCCATAAATACTGATAATCATTTCCCAAAAATATTGGTAACTTGTTTTGACAGTGTGAGATTTACATCATAAATTTTCATTTATAAATAAATCTGAAGGATATGTCCATAGAAACATATTTGATAAAAACAATATCTGTTATACCCAAATAAATTATAATTTTACAATATGGATTCTCAAACCATTCTATAACCAGTAATCCTTCACTTAAGTGGTATAAAATAATCTGTCATTTTATATCTTTAAATGTTTTTCTTTTTTCATCATAAATATCAACATTGAGTATTCAGTGGTATCAAGCGGGGGTTTGGGAAAATGTTCCTTATTTGAGGTGCCAAACTGGCAAACAGAGACTCTGAAAGAAGTCATTATGTGGTATATTCAGCCTGGAAGCCATATTTTCTTTTTCAGATAGCTGGGCTGCTTATGCTGGAATCAAGGAAATCAAACACAGGATATATTTTCATAATGTCATTGTTCATCAACAGTATTTTGTGGATCCTGTAGTACAAGAACAGTTCTGTGTTTTCAGCATTTATTTACTGCGTAGTTCACCATTACCTGTTGTAATAATGCTTAATTATAATAAACATACATACATTGATCTTATTGATTTTACGCTGCTCATGCTACTTAAGTGAAGGATTAACCTATAACCTTTGTTCATCTTTTCAACCATTTTCAACTTTAACATGGCTTGCAGAAATTTTCATTGCTTTCTTGAGATCTTTATATGAATATTTTTCTATTCTCATAACTCTTTTAATGACGGGCCACAAGTTTTCTATTGGACTAATCTGAAGAGGCTGGGAGCCATTTTTGTATCTTGAAACAATTTACCAGTTATTTAATTATGAAAACATTGACTCAGATAATAAAAAAAACTATATAAATGGATGTATTACTGAAAAAAGGCAATCACTAAACAAAAACAAACAAACAAACAAGACAAAAAATTGTCCAAAATGACATCTGTTATGGCATAATGAAAAATGGGCAACAGTGATATTTAGTGATGAATTCAAAACTAAACAACATTCTATGCAAGAGAGTAATTCTAAATATCAGACAGTACAGAAAACAATCCATAAAAAGACAGTAAAATTCAGAGGTTAGAAAAAACATGAAAAGTAATAATGCAAGAAAGAAAAAATATCAATGACTTACTAAACACTAAAAAATATAATACTTTTCTAAGATACCACCCTTACCAGATCTAGCAGAAAGTGAAATATTTATTCCAACATGACAGAGCACCTTGCTATATATTGCATGCAACAAACAAGTTTCTTACTAAAAAAAGAAATTGCAATGTTACAAGATTGGCTTCCTCAACACTAACTTGAACCTATGTAGAGAGAGAGTTAAAAACTTATGGGTGTAAAAAGTACTTTGAACTTTGAATTTTTCAAGGGGAATAGCAGAACATTCCTGATGAAATGAATTTGTATTCCTCCATCCCACATCAAATAGCTATTATAGTTCATACCAATGGGAGCCATACTAGTAAAAATTACGACTTAACATAAATATATAAGTAAATCTATGCTATTTTCCCTCTAAAGCTCATGACTTGGATATGCCCTATTTTCAACATCACCATGCATTCAAATCTATAACCTCCGTTTGTACAAAACCACGGTAAATGCAACAATTTGCAGTACAGTCCTGAGTGACTATAGATACTGCTCCTGAAAGTACATTGAAGGGTTACAGCTTCTTAGCAAAAAAATAAATTTTAATTTTAACTCAATGGAAATTTTTTTTTTTTATTGGATTCATTTAAAGACCAAAACAGGATTTTTGACATTGAATAGTCATGATACAAAAATAATTACTCAAATGCCTCATTTTTTTTTTTTTTTTTTTACACCATCCAGAAAATATAATACAAAGGGGTGCTGAAAAGTTTTCAGCATAAATAAGAATGGATTCCAAAACAATAGTTGGTAAGATTCTTTGGAAGCTAATCAGGACTTTTCAGTACTTCCCTTGTATAGGTTTCTTTGTACTAGACTATATATCATTGTTTTCTTTCCAAGTTGTGAAACTGGAAAGTGTATTTGCTCTGTCTTCATAATATAGACAGAGCACTAAATATTACTGTTTAGGTATGTGTCTGTCTTTTGGTTGTTTTTCATTAGTTTATGTTTCTTTTATCCTTTTTCTTCAGTCACCTGGCAGGCATATATAAGATTTAAGAAACAGCAGATATTTTTTATATATAGTGCTCATTAAAAATATTAAAATATTAAAAATAGAGCATTAATGATATATGAAAAGATTACTAAACTTTTAAATATCAATTTAGGGATAAAATTGATATTTAAAAGTAATCTTTTCATATAAGTTTTACTCAGATTTTTCATCCAGTAACCTCTTTCACCATAATAGCTTTATCCCCTTGCTGGTGAAATAATTAAAAAAATATCTCTTAAATTTCATTGGAATTAGTTGGTTATGGGGAAAATGATTGGAGGTCAAGAGAGAAATAATACATATACAACATGTAACTTAACAGATAATCCTACAAAAATTGGTAAAAACTTAGAAATTACCTTAAATTGAGATGTGTTAATACTTGTAATTGCACCAGGTTTTCAGGAATGGATCGAATCAAATTGTGGTAACAGATTAATCTTTCTAAGCATGTGAATTCTCCAACTTCAATTGGAACTTCTGTGAAACGGTTTTTAGAAAAATCTGAAATAAAAAATATAATGGCAAATCATTTAAAAAGGATGTTAAAAGAAAACATTTTAAGGCTTTATTTTGATTAAATATTTATACTAAAATCCTGACAGCTAGCATATAGGAAAGAAAGAATGCAAAACATGTGGCAGAATTAGGAATGATAAAATATGCATATGCCTAAATGCAGCTTTGCCAGAGTTAATAAAAATAAAGATTAAAATTATTTCCATAGGCAACAGAAGATGGACTGTTCAATTATGTTGGTACATTTGTGATAATAGGCTGGCCCTTTTCTCTGGTTTTTAGTTTTTTTTTTGTTTTTTTTTTGTTTTTTATTATTATTACATACCTTTTAAATAGTCATGGTACCTACATACAAAACTGTTCTAGATTCTTGCATATCCTTAATTTTAGGAAATTATGTATTGAAAGAGAATAAATAATATTTTTTTTAAAATTAAAAACATGGTAAGAACATTCAATAAACTTATTTAAAATAGATCATGTGGTTTGTTTTATAAAAAAAGAAAATTATGATTAGCAGTTTTCCAGATATATAAGTATAATAATTTTTTTTTTAATAAAATTTTAAATTTTGCAATATATTCTACCTTCTATGAAAATATTAAAAATTTTTTAAGTTTATTGGCTTTATGAACAAATATTGTAATGTATAATTCAACAATATAAACATTACACTGTAATTGGTTTCATTTAAAATAATCCCTTCATTTTCATTTAGCATTTATCCTACGGCCTTTCTCAGGTGTCTTGGGTTTTAGAATAGAATGTCTGAGAATACAGCAAAAATACTAATACCAGGAAATTAGTTCAATGAAACAAAATACAATGGTTACAAAACCTGCCTAAAATAAATTTTATTAAAAAAGAAAAAAAAAGAAAAAAAAGATATGAATTCTAAGAAGACATTACGTCAAATAAAAACTTTTCAAAAAGTATATAAAATTTATGCTAAACATTTTAAAGAATAACATAAGTCAACATTTCCTCTACAAGTTAACCAAAAAAGTATATTTCAACAATTATATTGAATTATATTGTTTTAAATAGAGATACATTTCTTTATAGATTTAATTGGTAGTCCAGGAACTTACGAACTTGGCCTAATGAGTAAGTGAAATTAACAAAGTACATAAAATCCCATAATATTCCCAATAAGTGGATTTATACAATCTTCAATATAACATTTTCTAATATGAAAAATTATCATTTTGCTTTAAATGTAAAAAAAAAATCTTAAAACATTCATTTTCACAAATAGGTATTTTGAATTATAATATCCAGCTAAATTTCTATGAAGCTTAACAGAATGTAGACTTACTTAAAATTTTATCTGGCAACATTGGCAAGGGGAGGGGGAGAACAAAGTGTATCAAGTTTAGAAATTTTAGAATTTTGTTTGAATCAGGGTATGTTATAAGCTTCAAAATATATCTTCCAGCAAATAGCTTAGACAATGAAATATGCTGTCAATTTTTTTTCTTTAAAATTAATTCTGAGTCACAATTGCATCCAAAAGTAAATAACAGGAATCTGTTCTTGCTTTTCTATTATTCACCTTCAAGCATAACACATGAAAAGATCAACTTAAAATAACCTGCAATTAAATAAAAATTCTATAATCCTTCAAGGACACATGACATTAATCTTTACTTCCCTTACAATTCCAAAAAAGAAGCTTTCAAGCAAACAGAGAAAAAAAACTTACATAGTTAATCTCTACAAATTAAAAAACAAGGAAAGTTCAAGTAGACTTCAGAAGCTTTTCTAAGCCACTTTCTTAGACTGTCTCTGAAAAGTCATCTGTAATTGACAGCTGAATGGATACATTAATCACCAAGTGTGCAAGAGAAATGTTAAGAAAGAAAACATAATGTAAAAGTGGTTCCAGTTCATATGTTCAAGTTATTTATGTGATAAATAGCACCTGCCTAAGTGGATAGGAAAAGAGTTGAATGAAATGCTTAGAGGGTTAATGCCTTAAAACACTACCTCAATAGTTTTTTTTTTTTTTAATTATATTAAAAACTGTTCTTATAAATTTCTGTACCATATAAATATCCACTCAAAACAAAACTAAAACAGATCAAGTGTGAAAACAAAACAAAAAAAGTTTGAAGATGGAGATCTAACTTATTAATCTTTTAATCAGTGTCTTCTCTAAAACCAGCAACAGTGATTCTATAATTGCATAGTGGCATTACTAACTGCTGCAGAATCTTCAAACTACTCAACTTATTAGAGATCAAATTTCAACTTGGCAACAAACCCGTTCTAGCCTACAAGCAGGTAAACAGAGTTTTACATTTTTTAAAAACACTTGTTCCACTATAGCTTCATTAAATTTATTATGAACTTTTCTTTCAGGACTTTCTAAAATTTACTGTACAAAGCACAAATCAGATGTAATGGTGTTCACTATGCTTCAGCAAATTCAAAATTTTTAAAAAGGTCTAAATATCAAACTATCTGAAATAACTTTTGCATGATACTTTATATAAATGACTACATAATATGTAAATAGAAAGAGAAAATAACCATATGTATTATGCCTCTCAATAAGATTTTTTAATATTAAATACATTTTTTCAAATTTTGTATTTTCAGATGTAATGTTATTTTGTTTACTTTTTTTCTATTGAGTCAGTACAGCCAGTTTCTTCCTGTATTATTTATCTTTCAAACATTTTATCTATAACAATAATTAAAAAATATATTTATATATATATATATATATATATATAAATAAAATTTTACTCTTTTCTTATTTTATTGATTGGTTTTTATTATTTATCATTTAAACTGAAATTATAATAACAGTAATTAATAATAAGTGGTAAATTTGATGATAAACTTTATTCCAACAGCCAATGTAAACTATGTATGTTTTTATGTGTGTATATGGTGTATGTATGTTGAAACTTTAAATTTTTATTAATTTTAACTAGATTAAGTAATCAAATTTTATGCTAATATTTGATTTCAACTCTTGGGATAACCTCAAGAAGTTTTAAAATTTAGTAATTCCCTTTGGCTTTATTCAACAACCTTCCTACAGATGGTGGTCTTGATAAAAATATCCAGCATCCTGTACTATAAACATGTTAATAGGAGTAGATAGGTTCACCTATCACCCGGTCAGTACTCCTTCCATGTTTACTGAATAGGAGTAGAGGTTTATCCCTTATTTCCAGCTTAGGATATGGTTTACCAGTTCTTACTTCCATGGCCATAATGATTTAGCTGTCTTAACATTTTGGCGATCTGACTGATCAGTGGCTACAACTTTTCATTATGAGGGTACTGGGCTGGCAGTTTTCTGGTGGTTGCTTCCAACTGGTAGTAAGAAGCCCAAACACTTTGGTGGCACTTAGAGGCTGCTCTAATTAACAGTCACATAATATCTGGGTATTTGCTTGTGCCATGTTGCATATGGTTAAGCATCCCTGCATGTACTTCCAGTGGGCTTTAGTCTTGGTCACCTAGTCAATTTGTATTGCCATATAATTATTTCTCATTAAAACAGATAAAAGAAATGTTTAAACCAATAAAATAAAAATAAAAAAAAAAAATAAAAAAAAAAAAAATCACCTATCGCCCTCAACCTTTTCTTCTCCAATATTTGTGGTATTCATTCTAATTTCTGTATTGAATTTTTTCTCTTGAAATGGTCTCAAGATGTCTTTGCACTTTGTGAAACTAATCTAAATTCTTCTATTGCTACCAATGAATTCTCTGTTCCAGTCTATCTTCCTCTTCGCCAAAAAGATTCCAGCATACATATACATGTCCTTGGTGTTTATATTTGGGAAACTCTTCCAATTGCAAGGTAATTGTCTCTTGAGTTCCCAGATGATCCTTTCAACTTGTTATTGCACCCAGTTATCTTGTTTTTCCTTTATTGCTCTCCTTCTCAGGACTGTAATATATTAAACAATTTCTGATAATATAGAAATGGCTTTCTCTCTACATCCATCTGCAAATATTTTTGTGTTGTTTGGTGATTTTAATGCACATCAATTAGCTTAAGTATTCTAATGTTACTGGTATTCAGATTCTCAATTTTTTTCATTGCCCAGTTTTTCAGTCAAATAGTGAATTTCCCCTACTTGTTTTTCCCCCAAATAAATCTGTTCAACATTCTTCTTTACTGGATTTGTTCATTACCTCCTCTCCTAGCTCTTATAAATCATCACAACTGTTGTCTTGGCAATTTAGATCATGCTGTAGTATCTGTTGACATTTCTTTTGAGTCATCTATTAGAAAGGAACCTCCTATTCACAAGACTTCTTTATGTTACAGCACACTGATTTGGGATTAATTTTATGACTTTATTCAAGATACTCCTTGGATTAATATTCTTAACTTTCCTATTTAGAATTATGCCACAGAGGTTTCTTCTTGGGTTAAAGTAGGCATTGATGCTTTTGTACCTTCTCAAAAATAGCACATGAAACCACAATCATCTTCTTGGTTTATACTAGTCTATTTAGCTGCTATGGCCCATAGGAATCACCTTTTCTAGATGTACCAGCTTGATAATTCCATTCACAAGACACCTATTTGTAACTGCTTGAAATAATTGTAAACATGTCCTCAAAGAAGTCTTTGTTAACTGATAGAATGAGGCACTGCGTAGCCTCTAACAAGTTTGGTCCACATGCCTACTGGCGACTGTAATAGCATGTTAAATAAAAGTCTTCCATCAATTTGAGGTGTTGCTGATAAAACAGAATGTTTTGCTCATAAATTCTCTTTACATTCTATGACTCATCTGGAGTACCTTTGCTGACTTTTCACTTATAACTAAGCCACTATTGACTAATATGGGTATAACTTCATCCATGGTTTTTGGTATCATTTCTAAACTGGATCCTCACAAAGCATGTGGACTTGTTGGTATCCCTACAACAGTGCTTAAATATGCTATCATTGTTCTATCTAAACTCTACAATAAATGCCTTGATACTTCTTACTTTCCTGCTTG